CTTAATGCCGGATTCTTTGTTTTAGCTTTATGTATGAAATGGTGATAAACTATTGTTATAAGTATCATTTGAAAGATGTCAGTAAACCATTTAAATAGTAATTTAGAATTAAAAAATTGATAAACTTGGTTAGAAATGTTTTATATATCTTACTTTTACTTGATTTCCTCCAGCCTCACACCCGCTTTTTAAATTAAAGGATGCAATTTAAAATACTTTTTATATAGAATGGGAAATAACATTTTATAAGTTTGAATAGTGTCTAATAGAGCTTAATACTTTCTTACAGAGAAGAAGAAGTTGGATGGGATACAGAGATTAAGGATGATGTGATTGAAGAATGTAATAAACATGGAGGAGTTATTCATATTTATGTTGACAAAAATTCAGCTCAGGTATTTTGATCTTTTTAATAAACAAAGATAGGATGTTGTTACTCTCTTTTGTGTCTTAATCTTCTCACATACTTGGAGCATATTATGATCTGTCTTAAGAGTTTTGTTTTGTTTTTTTCCCTCAATGAAGCTTTAACATACTGACTAAATATACACCCTCCAAAATAAAGACACTTTCAAAATAATTGAAGAGTAGACCAGGCCATTGTGTAGCAATGTTGCTGATTAGTGTTCAAAGCTTGCCATGATATCTTGGTTCATTCTTTAGCAGCTTTCAAAGTCATAGAGAAAAGACAGTACAGGGCAAGTCTTTGGGAGGATAAATTGTTTTCAGTAAAATTGTAGGTGTGCATATTAGGTAGTGAACAATTATGTAGTTGTTGAGCACTTTTTCTACAGGGAACTTGAATAAACCTATTTGAATCCATGTTGTATATTGCAACACCCTAACCTTTTTTTTGTTGTATTTTAGGGCAATGTGTATGTGAAGTGCCCATCAATTGCTGCAGCTATTGCTGCTGTCAATGCATTGCATGGCAGGTGGTTTGCTGGTGAGTTTGATCTTTTTTTCTGAATGATTGTTATTAAGGGTCTAAAATGAAGTGAAGATGCTAAACCACCATATCTGTTTCTTTCAACAGGTAAAATGATAACAGCAGCATATGTACCTCTTCCAACTTACCACAACCTCTTTCCTGATTCTATGACAGCAACACAACTACTGGTTCCAAGTAGACGATGAAGGAAGATAATAGTCCCTTATGTACATAGCTTTTTTTCTTTGAGAATTCATCTTGAGTTATCTTTTATTTAGATAAAAATAAAGAGGCAAGGGTCTACTGTCATTTGTATACGATTCCTGTTACCTTGAAAAAATAAAAATGTTAACAGGAATGCAGTGTGCTCATTCTCCCTAACTAGCAAATCCCCCTGTATACAAAGCTGTTCTCTTGTTCTGCCTTTTAAATGTACACGTAGAAAATTACATTAAGGATCTGTAGAATAGCTCTAGGGGAACAAATGTGCTTAATGTAAAAAGGCAGACAGGGATGTAATGTTTTTAATGTTTCAGAAGCCTAACTTTTTACACAGCAGTTACATTTCACGTTTCACTAATGTTGATACTTGGCTAATGGTTTAGAAGAGGTTTCTGGAATACACATTTAGTGTATGGAAATTCAAGACAGCTAAAGGGCTGTTTGATTAACATCTCATCTTGCACTCTGATCAGTTGGCAAGAAAAGGAGATTTCAAAGTTACATTTCTTGATGGTATCTTTACAATTAATGTATCTGTAAAAGTTTCTTTGTAAATATTTTGTGTTCTGGTGTGTCTAAGATTCCAAACAAAATGATCCTTGCATTTCCTCAAGATGTTTAGTGACAGTCTGATAAGCAAAACAGTCTGAGCAAGAAATAGGAAATGCAGATATAGGTTTTGTCTGGTTGCATATAATCTTTGCTCTTTTTAAGCTCTGTGAGCTCTGAAATATATTTTTGGGTTACTTCAGTGTGTTTGACAAGACAGCTTGATATTTCTATCAAACAAATGACTTTCATATTGCAACGATCTTTGTAAGAACCACTCAAATAAAATTCTCTTAAAAAGGCCACAAGAAATCTTCATTTTTGAAATGCTTTAAAGTCATAGAAACTTGAAGATAGAATATTAGTTTCTTTGACTTTTAGTAGTTGTTCATTACTTGACTCTTCGGGAAAATTCTTAGTGTGCAGAATCGGGGGAAATTCTTGCCCTCAACTTGTCCCTGTACATTCCTCTATATCACTATATCTTAGCACTGTACTTCTTATTTAGGGCAATGTATGAAAACCGAGGGATTTGCCAAAAAGGAAACCCAAACTAATTTGCCCTGGCCTTAAACTTGGGCATTCTTCAAGTCTCTTGTGTTGTCTGGGTATCTTTGTGAAAAAATGCTTGACTATTTAAAAGTAAATGATGGGGCTGGCCTAGTGGTTTAGCGGTTAAGTTTGCGCGCTCTGCTTCGGTGGCCTGGGCTTCGCAGGTTCGGATCTTAGGCGTGGACCTATGCACCACTTATCAAGCCATGCTGTGGCTGGCATCCCACATATAAAGTAGAGGAAGATGGGCACGATGTTAGCTCAGGGCCCATCTTCCTCAGCAAAAACAGGAGGATTGGCAACAGATCTCAGCTCAGGGCTAATCTTCCTCACCAAAAAAAATTAAATACAGAAAAAAATTGTGTAAGCTCAAAGTGGTTTCCCAAATTGATTTAACTGCGTTTGTTACTTTATTAAGGTATTTTTGAGCTTTAACCTTTACATGGGCATTGAGCTTTCATTTATACTCTGAACTCTGCTTCAGGTTTCTGTATCTAGAGTGAACCCTTGAGTAGGCAAAGTTGCTCCTAATGGAATGATTACATTCCAATAGTGATTTTCTCACCTGCTTATTTCTGTTTCTATTGGATTGATTTCTTAGCGTTGAGGCACAAGTTTTATAGGTTTATTCAGATATCAAGATTTAATCAGTTTGGGCCGGCTCCTTGGCTTAGCGGTTAAGTGCTCGCGCTCTGATGCTGGCGGCCCGGGTTCAGATCCCGGGCGCGCCCCAAGGCACCACTTCTCTGCCCAACCCGAGGCCGAGTCCCACGTATAGCAACTAGAAGGAGGCGAACCTATGACATACAACTATCTACTGGGGCTTTGGGGGGAAAAAAATGAATAAATAAAAT